AGTTTGTTGGTCGGTTTGTCTGTTAACAAGATAACTCCCAAAGTTATGGATGGATTTGCATGAAAGTACATGTACAAATCGATTGGATTTTGGAAGTGATCTGGGTCCGGATCCAGGATTTTTTTAAAGGATTTTGCTCCATTTATGCGAGTATTCCTTTGGGTGTACTGACAATACTGTATGGTGGGGAATTCTTTAGCTTTGGCGGAGGTTTGCGCTGTCTGAGTGCTTTCTACAGGGGTGTGAAATCTCAGCTTTAAATGTACAATGCTGATTTCAGCTTTTTTTTGTTTTGGATTTCAGCGTTTTTTTCCAGCTTTTTTCCTCACTTACTGTATACAAAAGTACATGTATAGGAGATTTCCAAAGTTCAGCTTTTTTACACCTTTTTTTCAGCTGTTTTCAGCTATTTTTTATCATTGGTCACTCACACCCCTGTTTCTAGTTTGATACAGTGTTTTCCTAAAAATTAAAACGATTGCAAACGGTGGTATCATCGGAGTTGCAAGAAATGTACGACGTACACGCACTTTCCCAAGGTTCATTTGATGGAGCTTAACATTCCTCCTGCACGTGGAGACAACACGGGAAGATGTTCCCATTGGAATGGACCGGAAAATTTCACTTGGCCGGCAGAGCAGATTGATTCGAAGTTAACAGCAACGTGACGTGAATATGCAAAGGGGAACAAAAGGTAGACAGGGGGGTGGAATTACCATAGGTATCGGTATGTCATGTATGTTGGGGTCGGCCACTGTGTGACGCAAGTACCCGAACGTCCTGCACGTCTGTTTTTAGCACTGTTTCTGAACATAATACAGTCATGGAGTTAGGAAGTCGATCAGGGCAATTGAAGAGTGCAGTGAGCTAACGGAGCAAGATGTGAAATTTGTTTTTCCATTGGATTATGGGTGAACTGGATCAGCAGATTTAATGATTAATTGTCTTGGAAATAATTTGGGAAGAGTTGCCAAATAACACAGTCTTTTGTTGAAATTTCTTCGATTGGAAATATTTCCTCAATGTTACCTTTTAAAGACTGCTGATAGGATCCACAAATCCTGTGCACTAGACAAAATCACAATTCCTAAGCTGGGAAACAAATGCTGCTTGAGTACCTTGACATCATCAGGGTTTCAACCTTAATTTTTTTGTTCACTAGCCAGCCGGGCTACTGAAACGGACTCTTAACTAGCCCGCGGGCATTTTCACTAGCCCGCATTTTTTTCTTATCTCAAATACAAAATGGCGTATTTTCAGGCTCGATTCTGAGGCAATTTTTGTCAGGGTTTTTGATTAACAGATCTAATAATGTAACCCTTTAAAACAGTTGATAAAATTAGACAAAAATTGATGGGGTTTCTTTTTGAATTTAATGATTTATTTCTTCCTGTACGTTCATCTTTGCCGTATCCCAATAATTTTTCACTCGCCAGCCGGGCTAGTTAAGGAGTAGTTTAACTAGCCCGCTGCTGTTTTGACTAGCATTTGGCTAGCGGGCTACCGCTAATTTCGAACCCTGATTGTTAATGTTAAACTACATGTATATTCAAGGTTTATCAAATAGGTCTACTGTTTTTGTCATTTAAAAAAAAAATACACCATTTACGTTGAGGATTGAACTGCACAGTGTTGTGTGAATATTGAGTGCAATATTCTTTGGAACTACAGAACAGTCGATGCTTGCAAGTTTTTCTCAATCATCTCCAATGTTTGCAGTGAAAAATTCCGCATCTTGGAGATTGCAGCTTTGAAAAATTTCCACGAGCCAGACTAATTTCCTGCCCAGTCTCAAAGATTCGTCTCCAAATGTCAGACGCATCAAAGAATTAGCCCAGGAGTCACACAAGTCGCAATCATGGGGTGGGGGGGGGGGGGGTGAAGCAACTCAATTTAGGGGGTTACTGTCATCATTTGCATGATTTCACGTGGACGATTAGACATGGTAATGCAGAGAAATGCAGAGACAGAGAGATGCGATTGAATTATGCATGCGCTTTGATCGAATGATACATTCATGTTGCAGTTAGGGGCGCGGGGCGACGGGAACGAAAGAAAATCAGAAACAAATTGAGTTTGCGGATTGACTATGAGGGGAAGATGTGCATCTGTGCATGTGTGTATACATGTAAATATACATACATGTATACATTGGTGTTCCGGTACATGTACGCTCTTTTTGGCCAGGTTGAAAAAAAATGTGTTGTCACTACGTGAATGTATGTAAGACTTAAACCTTTTTTTAAAGGTAAATTTAGATTCGGAAACGATTTTCAGGAAATACACGTAAAGAGGGGATTTCCGAGACATTCCTTGAACTCTGTGTTTCCATCTACAGTTCTAACAAGTAATCACGGTATGATCCAATCTTGTCATTTTATGTACAATGTATACATATGTATCGCAAACAAATGGTTTGATACATGTACATTGTATATACATGTAAGCACATTCTTGGTTAAGAGATAAGATGTACACATATCAAACAAATACATACAATCAAAATTTCCTAAGTGTTTTATCCTGTGAAATATGGGTGTACAAATGTACCTGCGAGAAAACATTAACGTTGAAAACATTGCTCAAATTAAGACCTTTTTGATGATCACAACCAGTTTTGATTTATAAACTGCACCGAATCTATCGTCTTAAATAGCAACATGGCTGACTTGCATCGTGCATGAAACCTTTCCCCGATATATTGGTACATTTATCATCAAGCCGTCCCGTCGGTTTCCCTCCTAAATGCTTTCCCCGGCACGACACGCTCCACAATCCGATCGTGAGCTGCCTCAGGGGCTGCTGAATTCATACACAGCCGTCAAGCGTGCACTACATATGGGCCACCGAATTTGAAGGGTGCACCTAAGAATCTTAAGCTCATGGATGCTGCGGGCATCTTTCTGAAGACTCTGCTTTCCCGAGACATGTTTTTTTTTTGGGGGGGGGGGAGGATTGATGATAAGGAAGTCTCCCATACGTGCTAGCTCGGTTTTACTTTCATGGCCCGGATGTGCAGCTTGCTTGCGTCTCACGGGATCATTCTACCCGGCACGTTTTGGAAATGGAGGCAAGAGGCTCATTTTAATTGTAAATGCCCAGTGTAGGGTTACGAGACTGAGGGAACATGTTGGAATGTGTTCGACTTGTGGGTCAATTGATTCGACCTGGTTAATTGGTTTTCCATCGTCATACATGTAAATAAGCACTGTACACTTGGTTCAAATGCTTACAAAAAAATCATTAGCATGCGCTTGTTTGACTCAAACACATGACACAGGAGTCAGGTTGGCGTAGCGGTACTTTCCTCGCCTTCCACCGCTGTGACCCGGGTTCGAATCCCGCCTGGGCCAATATGTGGATTGGGTTTTCAGTCCCTGCCTGATTCCGTGGGTTTTCCCCAGAATATTCTTCCGGGCTTTTCCTCCCACCTCTAAAACTGTAAATTCTTCTCAGTGTCTTCTCTCCACAGGTTTCTTCAGGCTTGCGAGCTACAGTGCCTAGAGCGCTTTTGAGGAATCCTTGGTTTCATTACCAGAAATGATTAATAATAATAATAATAATAATAATACAGAATCCCCCCCCCCCCCCCATAAAAAGTTTCAGAGATGGCTGCTTCTTGCAAAGGATCTACCGTTACATATCAGCAAAAAGGATTAATCATTGATTGGAGAGATGTGTACTGTATGTATTAAACAATCCCGCGAATGTATTTAGCCTTAATTAATGCAGCAAAATTCACTCAGTTTACATGTTTTCGTGTACAGTATATTATACAGGGGTGTGAAATCTCAGCTTTAAAGCTGATTTCAGCTTTTGTGTGTTTTGAATTTCAGCTTTTTTCAGCTTTTTCCTTCACTTGCTGTGTACAAAAGTATAGGAGATTTCCTAAGTTCAACTTTTTAACAATTTTTTCCAGCTGTTTTCAGCTATTTTTATCAGTGGTCACTCACACCCCTGATTATAGCAGACTGGGACTTGTTTTGATGTCCCTACATCAGATACACTGGTTTCGAAACCTGTATTGTAACATTGCGTATTCATCTCCTAAATGTCATCACCTCCTTCAAAGACACTTACATCTTAGGAGGAGCCTCCTGTGGGTTATTGGTCAGGGGCCCATCCCAGACCGCTGTGATTTGATGTGTTTGTTGTTGAACTCAACCAAACATGGACTCGTAACCATTTCTCAGTCCTGCCATAAATGTCAACAACTCTTGTTTTGATACCCGGTAAATGTGTGTGCAATCCTGTCATTGCATCATAGTTCAAGCTTTGTCCCCTACTGCCTACACATGTACAGAGTACCGGTAGGACAGATTTGTTATTTGCATTTTTCATTCCCAGAGTTGCATCCGAAAGAATTTGACGGAAGCCTACATGTACATACTGTACAAATGTACATGTAGGTCTCTGCTCATCTTTTTGACATAAACTTTTCTTCTTCTTTTTTTAACTACATGTAAAATCCCTCCCCAAAACACACCCATTTTTACGGTACATACATTGTACCTAGTGTGGACATTCTTTTGTTTTCGTGTAGTTAAGAAAAACCTGTAAAAAAAACCTCATTTTACTCACACTGTGGAAACTCTTTCAACCCAAATTTTTTTCTGTGATTCCCTTTAGTGTTTCTCTTCATTTTGCCACTGATAAACCTAACCCAATAATGCCTCTAAACCTGTTTTACAGAGAGGGGGAAACACTGTGTGGACGTGGGCAAGTCCACACAACGTCGCTGCTACCTGGTTTATAATGTGGACATCTTTTGTTTGGAAGTCCACACAGTGAATGTAATGCTTGTACACCCACACACACACAAAGAGAATGATTGCAGGCTAAAAAAAAAATTTGGAAAGGTTTTTGTAACTTGCTGAAACAAGATTACATGGTACACGTACAAGTTTGTTCTTTCCTTTAGCCCTTGCTACATGTATTTTAAAACATGATTTAAGATTACTTTTTAAGTAAATGTCTACTTTTTCTGTGTTTTCTTTTAGGCTGAAACTCTATCCAGGCAGGACAAGGCAGCTGTTTGCATCCAGTCTCGTTACCGAGGCTACCTGGCTCGCAAGAAGTATGTGGAACTACTCTTCGAGAAGTTTAACAAGGTACGTCCAACTGAAATTTATACTCTCATTTTTTCTAACATTAACTCTTTCAGTGCCTGCGAAATTTGAAAAGTTTAACCCTAAAGTGCCCAACTTCGAGTTTTTTTTTTTTAATTGTTCAAAATTCTGTAAAACAAAAAAGTAAATAAGTTTTACTTACTAAATTTGTTGTTGTTTCTGTCTGGTATATCCTTGGTATATTGGTAAGTCAATAGTAGTCACATACATAGTGATACACCCTGAAACACTGTCCTGCACACAGTGGATTTCCGCACTTTTTTCAGAAAATACGAGTGTCGGTGCTGCGCCCTCTCGCAAGAACTAAAATGAAACAAATAAATATAGGTCGTACCTGAATGAAAATGATATTATTAGAAAGAGCGAGAGGGCCCCCTTGTGATAACATGCTTACTCTACCTCGTTCTTGTACAAGGTTTGGCGATTTTAAGTACAAACATCAGGCGCGGATCCAGGATTTCTTTAGACGGGGGGCACCCCTTTAGAGCATTTGCTCCAAGAACTAATGCGAGCGGGGAGCGCGAAGCCCTTACGGCGTGGGGTCCGGGGCCCGCTTAAGGGCCCCGGGAAATTTTGGATTCTAGATGCTCTGTGGTGCAGTCTGAGGCGATTCCTGGCCCCTTTCCCCCTGAATTATTTGAGCAAAAGTTGTTAAGCTTATAAGGAATTTTTTTTTTAAATATACTCTTGTTATTACAAATTTTAAGCTACTGTGTACTTCAAAGTTGCAAACCATGTATTTTCGTCTGCATAATTTCACGCATTGTATTAAAAAAAAAAAAAAGGAATTGTATTGAATTAGAAAACTGTTGCAATAGGCGATGCGCTGGGGCATTTGCTCCAAGGACTAATGCGAACGCGGAGCAGTGTCTTACGGCGTGGGGTTCGGGGCCCACTGAAGGGCCCCAGGACATTTTTCATTCTATAGATACTCTGTGGTGCAATCTGTGGCGATTCCTGGCACCATTTGAGCAAAATGTTGTGAAGATTATTAAAAAAAAATGTTTCATTATCGCTTCGGTTTGCGGTAACACCATGTTTTTTTTTGTTTTTTTTTCTTCTGTTCTTCACTTGATAACCAAGTATTTTCGACTGCATAATAAGTTTCTTGCATTTTATTTTGGAAAAGGAATTGGATAGGCTTAGTTTGTTAACTGTTTTAAGGATGCGTAGGGCTAGGGAGATCTGCCCCGAGGACTAATAATGCAGAGCGCACATGTCTTTCGGCGTGGGGTCCGGGGCCCGCCTGAGGGCCCCTGGTTTTTTTTTGATAATTAGATGCTCTGTGGTGCAATCTGAGGCGATTCCTGGCCCCTCTTTCCCTGACATGCCTGAGTTATTTGAGCAAAATGTTTTAAGTTAAATAAGGATTTTTTTATAGGTTTAATATATATTCTTGCTTTAACAAGCCTTTTAGGTTTCTTCTGTTTTTCACTTGATAACCTTTTTTGTTTGCATAATTGTTTTCGTGCATTTTATTTTTGAAAGGGAATTGTATAGACTTAATTTGTAAACTTTTGCAAGGATGCTTTTTAATGTTTTGTATCAAGTTTAAATTTTCAGTTTATCAATAAGATAAGATTTTCTATGGAAATTTTCTACGGAAACGGACATGTTTTGGACTCCTTAAACATGTTAAAAGCGCCGAAGAAATGCTGGCAAAGTGTTCGTACGAAAACCGTACCCTTGACCAACAGTGTGGGTACAACGTGTATGTCGATCGTGCTCATCGCGCCAAACAGCACATCGGCTGTCACACGTGCGTGTTTTTCGTACCGGTACGTACCCTCATTAATCGCATAAACCGATATACTATGCAGAGTTACGTATGGAGTACGTACGGTGGCCGGGATCGCGGTTTATTTCGAAGCTTCTAGAGTTCCCTGTGTCATACGGCCAGTACACATGTACATGTACACAATGTTTGCAGGCCGCTGATGTTTAATATCGGCACCGGTATTTTTGTTAGAAGGTTGCCCTCTCCTTCCCTCCATTTCTCTCACCTCCCCCTCCTTTTCCCCCCTGTTTTATTCATTTTATTTTTTTGTGGACTTAATTTGACGGGGGGCACGTGCCCCCGCGGCCCACCCCTGGATCCGCGCCTGAACATTACCTCGTACATGTACGAGGTTGGCAATTTCGAACTAACAAATATACCATGTACATGTACGACTTTGGCTCTGAAAGAGTTAAACGAACACCTCACATAAACATTTCTGGCATATTTTTGCTTCAGAGGTAGGCCTACATGTACTTGTTTTTATTGCTTAAAAAAACAATTTAGCACAGACTATGATAATACCGGAATGTTAATTTATTTTTCAGTCGGACTTATTCCTTAACGGTTCACAACATTGATGTGAATGCCGTTTTCATTCAGATCATCTCACATCTGTCTTCATTCCGTGAAAAAAAGCAGCACTGATAAATATTCACACAATTTTTTTCAGCAAGTGAACCCTCTGGAGATTGTCCATTGTGTCGTGCACGCATTCCTGATTGAACTGACCGTTCCTTTCCGTTAGGACAGTTGTCCACATCTGTCATCCCTCGTCCATCTGTCTCAATGTCCGTCTTAATATTCATACTGTGTCCTGCATAATGTGTGGGCAGCCAAGCATCTGAAAGATGCTGTGATGTGAGGATGTACTCCCATAAACCTTGGATAAATTTTAACAGCTGACAGAATTTCCTCAGTATTTACGCACACTGGGAGGCAACTGCAGCGCGTCCCAAAATACCCGCAACTTTTTTGGGCCAGGCTCTAGCACAGGGTGACCGTTTTAGCCGATTTTCGGCTAACTTTGACAGAATTTTGGTTAAAAAAAAAAGTTTGACCAAAAATTTGTCAGAATGGATTTTTTTTGGGCAGATTTCTGGCAGAATTCTGCAAAACTGGTTATGCGACAGAAAAACAGCAAATTTGAACAAAAAAGTGTACATTTGTTTTAAAAAAGCTTCAATCCTTTCAAACAAACCCGGGCATAATGGGACAGGTTGGCTGGTCTAGGTGTTGAGGTTCACTGGGAAACGGACTTCGTCGTGGCCGGATCCGCGTGTTGCCCGAAATTTACCAATAATATTTCACAACATCTTAATTAATTTTTGTGACTAGATTAATTATTATGTAATTTGAATCTTAATTAAGGCAATACTACCAATCTGCATGTGATTTTCAGTGTTTATAGTGTATTTCGAGTAATTCTGGGGAATTTGGCAGATTTTTGACAAATCTGACAGATTTTTGATGTGCATTTAGCAGAATTTGGCCTGCCTGCTCTAGCATCAGCACAGAAACAAGTACCGCCATTCATCTTAACTTTATCCCTGGCGAGTATTATAGTTTGATTTTAAAAAGAGTTTTAAAATTATTCGTGTTCAAATGAAGGCATGTCGAAAACAAATTCAACCGATTTCAAGGAATATCCATGATGCGGTACATCAGATGCAAACTCGATTAAAAAAAAACTGTTGAAATAATAACAAGCTGTTGAAATAACTAAACAAAAAGAAACAATTGATTTATATTAAAATCACATTGAACTTGAAACGAAGAACAATATTGTGAATGTATTTAAGGTGTTGTCTACGTGGATCGAAAAGAAAAGGAAACACAGAAAATAAAAGGCAACGAGATCGTCACATCATGAACATGATGAAGTATTTCCACATTAGAAAAAATGTACATGATTGATTTTCCTTGAAATCGGTTGAGCTTGCTTTTGACATATAACACAAATAATTTCAAAATTCTTTTGAAAGTGAAACCAATACGTACCATGGATAAAGTTAAGATTCCAAGCTTTAAAATGTTATATAAAAAATGGCGGTACATGTACGTGTTTCCGCGGCCATGCTAGAGCCTCTCAAAAAAATGTTGCGGTCATTTTGGGACGCGCTGTAGTTTACCAATATTTTTTATCATTATCGTATGTAATGTATGTCATGTACATTGTACATGTACATGTATGTGTGGTACATTTGTACCTCAAGAAACAACATGCATGTTTCGGTTTTTACACTTTTCACCACAAATACCGTTTTGAAAATTGCCAGGCAATTTTGACTACACTTCCAGAGTTGAAGTTTTTGTTTTGTTGCAACTGTTCTTATTTTGAGGAGATTTTCAAACATTTCAGTCCCTTTTTCAATTGAAGAGGATCCAGGTTGTTATGAAACCTTGTCCTAGTTTTCATCACAGATTCCGTTCTCAATCTCGTAGAGAGAGAGAGAGAGAGAGCGCGGAGGGAGATGAAAATGTCTCTCACACCTGCATCAGGCTGTGCGAAACGAGACACACACACACACGTCTGCGTATACATGTCACGTTCTAGGAAGTAACACCTTCTCTGTTCACACCACGGCCTTCTGATATCTGATCTCTTGCCAACTCCTATCGCACGGCTTGTTTATGGGGTCGGCACACAGGCAGACGTGCCTTCGCTGTACAGAGCCAAACGTGCGATAAATAACGATCTGGGATCGCTTGCCATTAAGTCTCGGATATTACGACGGTTCAAGTTGGTGGGATGTTGGCTTCTCAGAGGGCTGATTGTGCCTGACAGCGAGTACATGTTGTCATGGTAGTTGGTTCGTGTTCTTGCATTAATGTTTGGAAATGATGAATGTTGATAGCACATTTTGGATGCTCGCCTGGCACGCAGGTTTTCATGCATGTAATGAAAATTTCAATTCCGTGACAGCTTGAATTGTGAGTAATCACGGTACAAGTCATGTATACATGTAGATGTACATGTCCATAAGTATTGCATTGTATGCTACTTATGTAATTCACTTCAGTGATTTCTGGCAAATATTGTTATTGCATGTAAGGGCCAGATTTTAAACCTACACAGATATTTAATTTCAATCAAAAACTTCAAGACTTTTTGATTATTAATAAAGAAAAAACATCTGTAAAGACCTGTTCTTAAATTTTTGCCACAAATTTGTGCTAAATTTGATCCATTTGGAAATTCCAAGCAGACAAAACGCGTACGTGTACACTGGCCATGTACATGTACATGTACGGTATGGTTCATAAAAGATCTAGTGGGCAATTCCACGGTTACTCACGTTACATTTGTGATGTACTTTTGAGTTTCCTTGGGCTGTAATTACCTTACTGAAAAGGTTTAATAACTGTTATCCCCATGGTACATGTACATGTAGATAGAGTAGACCTAGACCTACCTAAGCACCGAAGATGACATCCAGAAAAGTGTGTTATGTATGATAAACAAGACACACAAAATCGGTTACTCACGTTACGAAAATGTAACATGAGTAACCGTGGAATTGCCCTAGTGCTGATCCCTCTTTTGGACTCAGTTATTCCTCATTTGTCTATCTTATTACAGGCAATTGCTACTTTTTCCATGAAGAATACATCCAAATCCATCAGCTATAACCACTCAGACAATATTACAAAATCTCCAAGATCATGCCAGGATGCAGGGATAATAAATATCAGCCCAATTTCAGAGTTGTCTGGGTCCAACCGGCGATAAATTGCTCCCCCCCCCCCCCCCCCCCAGTATTATCAACCTGACCTCGCTCGCGGTGGCTCTGTCATCGCCGGTAACCAACATGACGCGGGTAGAAGGAGGACACAGTCTTACCATGCTTAGGAAAAAGAAAAAAAACCCTCAATTTCATGAACTAGATCTTGGGCTGTTGAAAATGTGAAATATGCACCAATGGTTTAACGGGTTGGGGGGAAATCAATATGTGTCCTGATAACGACACGGGAAGAAATGGAAACTCTGTCCAAACTCCAGCAGCTGGCCCCAGGAATTTTTTTTTTTTTTTTACGGATTTCATATCCACCAAGCCCTATGTAAATATGTCTTGGAAACTGATAGGTAAAGATACTGTATTACTATTGATCTATAGACAAGTTGTTCATTTACAAGTTTTGTGACAGTACGTGCATGTGCATGCACATGAACAATTACATGTATGGAACATGTACATTTGTACGGCATACAATGTACATGTACCCCGGAAGACATGGTAGAAAACATGAAATGCAATAACATACATGTACATTGTAAACAGCATACTGTCACGTACTTGCACGTACATATTTTTGTACATGTAGATCCAAAAAGTAACGAATGAAATTATTGTTGAAAAGCTTACTTCGTTTAAAAATAATAATGGCGCTAAACTCCCTGTAAAATTATTCTTTCTGGCATGCTGTCATTTTGAGAAAAAAAACAGTAAAAGAAGGTCATTTCCAAGGATGTGCCAAGTAGGTGGTGCAGTTTTGGAAACTGTTGAATTGAAACCGAGATCCTAGAATAGTGTTTTCTTGCAATATACAGCATTCACAGAGCTAAAACTTCATCAGGTTGGTTGTCTGGTTGTTAAGCACAACCGGATTGCGGAGCCATCTTCGAGTTCATCGAGTTGCCAAACTATGACGTCTTCTTCGGATCCGAAGGACCACCACTACGAAGCACCCGTCTTAAAGGGACACTAGGTCCTGGAACAGCCCAATTGGGCTACAAAACGCGCTTTGAACGAGATTATGTTGATCGGAAAGAACATTTAAAACTAAGATAGAAACATCCACATTCCTCACAACTATCCTTTCAAAACTGGGCGTTTTTGTGTTATTCCTGTATTATGTGTGCGAGAACGAATTTCGGGGTCCACTTTTGCGACCCCATAAATTCGAGCCGTTTGGATGCTAGTTGTGATTTCATTCGTACGCGTTTAGTGTTCCCCTTTTGCGGATGTTGAAGAAACCAATTTTTTTTGCATTGGTGATTGGTCACCGCTGGTCTCGAGACACACAACGTGTATATCGTACACTAGAGAACGACACGAAAAACGTATTCGTACTCCGTCGTGTCCGATGTAAACAACCGGGGTTTTTTCGTCTTTTCTCGGGAACGGTAAGACATTAGGTTGGTTTCCTTTCAACCACATGTTTGAAATAGGATAAGTAAACAATCCAAAACATGAAATTTTCGGGGATTTCAGGACCTACATGTAGTGCCCCTTTAAGATTTTGAGCACTTCTGTTGTTTCAAACAAAAAAATTGCACAAATGACAAATGATCTACATGTACTCTGCATCCATTTAAATTAATCTTTGTTAAAGGGGGTACATTCTTGTGTACGCTTGCTAGGAGTCCATATAGAGGAGACTGAAGTTGTTTTTTTTGCCCGAGAAATTTACAATTTTGTATATTTTTTTCTTTGCCGTTTGACAGGAGGATGAATGGCGAGCAGCAAGAGCAAGAAGACAGGTAGAAGAAGGAGAATTACTCATTGAAAAGTAAGCTGACATTTTGGACATCCTTCTTTTCTTTTGTTTGCGACAGTAAACATGTTTATCCAGGATACTCCTCCAAAAAAAGATAATAAAAATCTCATTGACCCAAGCTTGGAGTCAACCATGTCAACCAAGTTTCAGTTTCAGCTGGTTTGATCTTCCTCGCTTTGTGATCACTGGAGTACATTTCATTATTAATATCCATCCTTAGCACAATTTTTAAAGGGGAAAAACCCACACACATTGTTTATGCACACGACAACGCATCGACAATCAGCCACACTACTTGAGGTCCACCATGTCAACCAAGCTTTGAAATCTTCTTGCTTTGGTTTCACAGCATTTTAAATGTCAGTTTCAGCTGGTTTGATTTTCCAACGCACAGGAGTACATGTATATTTCATTATTAATATTCATCCTTAGGCTTAGTACCATTTTTAAAGGGGAAAAACCCACGCACACATTGTTTATGCACACGACAAAGCATCAACAATCAGCCAGATTTGTACACTTCGTTTTTTTAATCTCACTCATCGGCTTGGCACAAGGAGAAGATCTCAAGGCATAGTCATGTTAATCATCTTCAAGTGTCTGTACAATCCTATGGTAGAGCTCATCTCCGGTGCTAGAAGTCCTGGGAAATCATCTGTGCTTGTGAAGGGAATCAATGCTGTCCGTCCAGAAGGAAACTTGATTGAGGTTTCTTGAGGTCGTAGTGGCGGACAATGACCCAGACAGTCTGACCAGACATTCGGAATCTCTCTTCGGATTTCTTTTTGTCGTGCGTGTTGTATATGAACCTGTTCTGGCATGTCTTATGCTAACTCGTTTCATGGAATTTAGCTCTTAAGAGCCGGAGGTTTTTTGCCGATGATTATCAGTAACCTTTTGGTGAGTTTAGCGACCAGCGAGGAATCGCTGCCAGGGAGATTTTACTGAGAGTGGAATCTCGTTTGTCGCTTGATTATTTTCACAGTGGTTCGTGAATTCTGTTACCACTTTGAACCTGAATTTATAGTCTTGCATCCACCTTCGGTATTGTGGGCCTTGAGTCAGTCACTAGGATTGGAGAAATGAACACTGTTTTTTTTGTGTGGAAAAGTTGACTTGGGGTTTAAACTTGATCAATTAACTTTCCGTTAAAAAAAAAATGTATTGTACTTTACTCTGTTCCTATATTAGAGGATTTGATATTCCTACATGTAATATCACAGAACACGGAGCTGCATACTCCCTAGAGAGCTGAGATTGTTTTTGGAATGCTTCATTGGCCCAATGAGCAGGGTAATAATGATGTTCATGTAGCGCCTTGAACACCAATGCTGGTGGATATATGTGCACTTTATAAATACACATTATTATTAGAACATACCGGCACACACATGGAAACACATATGTTTCGTAATTCACTACCTCATGGAGACGTGTATACATGTAACAGGGAGCAAAAGCTGGTATACATGTACACGGTCTCCACAGGGCAATTTCTAGGTGAATACGTCTCCACAAGGTTATCACAAAATATATGAATTTTACTCAAAAACTAGGAATTTCCAAGGTGTGTTGAAGTATTTTATGTGAGGGATATTAAGTCCAAATTTCAGCCCAGGAAATTAATTCTGATTAAAATAGGAGCAATTTGAAACTAGATTTTCACATTCTAAAGTTTTAGTACACGAGAACAAAGAAATGACTCCACAAGGATGCAAATTCAGATTGCGTGTGTACGCATATTCAGCAAGAGGCCATTCAAGTCAAGGCACAAACTCCCCTGAAGCACACAAGAACCTGTGTTTTCTAATCCCAAACCTGGTGATCCAGATTGTCTTTCCAGACATCACACAATCTTGCCACACCTGTCGTCGCTGCCTTTCCATTCCCCTACACATACATGTACTTGAGTCAGTCCATGAATGATGCGAAACTCTTTTGTTTCTGCCTGGATTAACTAAAATTCCCCGCCTAATTCAATACACCGCCAGCCTTGGACTGCCATTAGCCTCGCCTAAGCCGTTAGTTTTAACGGGGAATCCTACTTTCAAATCTAATTGGAATGTTTACTGAGTGGAAAGCGCGAGGGAGGAAAAGAGGCTAATGGTTCAGTCCGATTTTAAAATTGGTCGAGTGGATAACATTCTTGGTGTTTAATCTGTATCTTTTCCGTCATGTCATGGTGAGTAAATACCCAACTCGACCAGGAATTTTCTGTTGAGTATTTTTGTTTTACCACGCTTGGACCTAGTCTATGCTGTAGACCATGGCGAAAACATTTGAGCAGATACGCTGATTAATTATGCAAGACAACCGCATCTTGACCTCTAGATTTTGACCAATCAGCAGGCGCTTTCTATATCGGGTATTCGGTCATTCACCGTTGTCGCGTCATAGACATGGATAAAAAAAATACTCTAGACACAGCCTGTGGTCACACGATCTGTATTATGTTACGCGATACGCGCCCGGCTGTTGTTGTATTACAAAACACGGCATTCGAATTGGCCTATCAAACGTTTAGTCCTGATTTGGAAATGAAATGACGTCACGATTTAGTAAAGTCGACTCTGATTGGCTGTGGCGCGAGATCACATAAATCTGCATGCTTCGACATATCAGACGTTACACAAGAGACTTGGCTCCATGGATAACAGGTGATACGCAGACTAGCTTGGACCATGATACACCCTCAGACATCAACTGTTTGGATTAAAAGAAATAATAATAAACAAACAAACAATTCTGTAACCAATATTTGAGACAAAATCTACCATGTCTACTTGCCATACATGTACTCTGATTGAAACCAACCAAATTATCTGATAATACCGGTACATGTACATAAAGTTAGAACAGTGCTCACTGTTGATTGTTAGAGGTGCCGAGTATTTTTTTTTATCATGCTTGGACCATGATACACCCACAGACCTCAACTGTTTGTAAAAAAAAAAAAAAATCATAAACAAACAAAAAGATTCTGCAATCAAAATTTGGGACAAGATCTACTTGCCATACTCTGAAACCAACCAAATTATCTGATAATACATGTGCGTGTATAGAAAGTTAGAACAGTGCTCACTTTTGATCGTTAGAGGTGCCAACTTTTCGGACATCTGTCCTTCATCAGGGCTGGGAGGCCTCTTTTGCAGAATTCTCTGATATTTCCCCTGGGCATTTTTTTTTTTGGGGGGGGGGGGGGGTTTCCCGCTCTGATTGTCATTCAAAAAATAGGGCTCAATTTGCAGGTGAGTAGTTCACGTCCACTGAAGTACAGATGCATACATGTACATAGAAGACATTTCAGTGTCGGAAACCACCTCACATATTTGAGACTTGCCCACGGTGTAATACAGAATCAATGACATGACATCCCTTCGGTTGATTTTTTGGTTCCCGTACGTGCCTCCTGTACCTTTCTGGGAAGCGTGACCTGAGTACCGCGGCACATCACCCACCGTCATTTCACAGTCACCCCCCTCTTCCTCTGCCGTGCACTCAGCTCAATTAAACCTGCCAAGGCGCGCTAGGCTTGGAGGTGTTTCTGGAAGTCTGCCGTGAGCAGTCTGTTTATTCATCCACTGGCTAAGCATACATTAGGATCCATCTCATTCCCGAATAATTGCTAATCGTTGGAATTAGAGCGTGCAGGTTTTTTTTTCTTTTGGGGTTTTATGGACTCATGTAATTAATTGAATTTTCTTTTTTTTCTTCTCTTTGGACGTGTACATGTATGTACATGTAAGTACAAGTACAGAGATGTTTTAGAAGTTCCCAACCAACAGCAAGAATATACATGTAGGAGTCTTTTGTTTTGTTCCGGTAACAAAAACATATGCACCTTTGGTTATTCTTGCTTAAGAATGATATTGTTTTGTTGTGAAAATTCTCTGGTTTGACAAATACATGAAGTTTCTTTCACATTCAGACAGTTAAAGGGAATGTACAACATTTGCTTTTGCTGCAATTTTCAGAAATAAATGGATTCGGAGGATTAGTATGTTATAGCAAATATTGTTAAACTGACTTGTTTCAAGTTTTGGGCTTGTATATGCTGGAAAAACCAATAAACCAATCATGTTCTTGTAGTCTGGTTCCCTGACCCCACTTTTAAGATTAAACGGAGAAATGTAAAGACTTTGGGGAATTGTAAGGTCAAAGAATCAGTCTAGCAGGCTTGTACATCTTCACAGGTGTGTAATCAATTGCAAAGAAAATGCGGAATAACAAAGTGAAAAGTTAGGAGCAGTTTTGGAAAAAAGCCATTTTTTTCCAACGCTGGTCGGCCGACCAGCGTTGAAAAAATACAGTTTTTCTTGAAAAGGTCAGCACACCAGGAGCCACAATTTTACAGGATGCTTTAGACTGTCAATCCCTAACAATTCAGTAAGGTATTTCGTGATTATTTTGATCATTTCGTTTTTTGATGTTTGCAAATGTTGTATCTTCCCTTTAAAAGCAGTTGACTTTTTAAGAAAAACTTGCACATGTATGTTACCAGTTGTACATACTTTGTACGTCATGTCCATGTCCATGTACATGTACATGTACACATGTTCACGGGACATGAATAACCTGCACAGTGAGTTTTGTGCGATGTGTTTTACTTCCATATCCATCTCGCATTCCCGTCAAAACACCTCAGAAAACGAAACTGTAATACATTGTATCAGTTTTCCAAAGACTCGGTATGTATTCCTCTCTCCGTGGATCAAAACTTGATGGTGCAAGGAGGTGGGAGGATATTGAGAATGGGAAGCGTCGGAAGCCGGTATTGGATCGGCGTAGGTAGGTGGCTCATTAATCTTGGGGAAATTGACAGGCTGCGGCATTAACTCAATAATCCTTCAGAGTTGGGACTGAGTGGGATGTGGGCGTGTGGAAAGATGAATTGCAGACAGAACTAATTCATAGCTGGCAAGAAAACAAAAATCATGACTGAAGGCACATGACGGGGATAGGTGTTTGAACAATTTCGACTGTTTGGTTTTTTGGGGGGCATTTCAGTAATA